GCGTCTGCAAAAGGTTCCCATCTCTCAAGATAGTGACTTCTGAAATCGACATTGCCATAAACGATGAGTTCCGAGTCATACCCGGGCTGGGGGAGTTTGGTGATCGTTACTTTGGGACCGACGACTAAACGACTTACCAATCAACCGCCTGGTTTCTGCCTCCGCTACTATGCCTTCATGTAAGAGTAGAAAATGATTGTTCTCTCTCTCGCTCTCGCTCTCAGTCAGTAGTACTCAATATTGGGCAGTTGCTTCCGTTGTTACGTAGGCTGGAACCTGTTGTGCAAGATACATAGAACCTACAATTGGCAGATCACACATTTGCCCAGTGGTAGGAATTACCAACTAATCCAAACCATTATAAAACCGACAAAATAGTCCAAAGACAGCATCCATGTGTTTCTAACCGAAACTAACAACATAAAACTAGTGTACGTACAATATGATTTCATTTCATCCGAACAACGGCACCTCCATTGGAACGTAGGTTGCAAGCTGCTGCACACGATACTGAGAAGCTCCAATCGGCAGGCCATACATTTCCCCCGTGGTAGGATCCAAGACATGCAGTTCCGCCGGAGCATGACCACCCCAAATAATCACTTCCCCTTCTCTCGACAGTCCTATGGGCCTCATTAGCATTATTGAACTCCATGAAGTAGTAGTGGGAATGCTAAACAACTTGGACCAAGATTCTCCAACATTATTCAACAGTACCCATATGTCAAGGGAATTGGAGTAGCCATGCACGTGGAACTGGAAGATGGCAAGCGTCTCTTCCTTCAACATGAAAACGACGGGCTGGTCAGCAATTTTAGGAAGCCGATGCTGATCATCATCACAGCAGCGAGGCGTGGCTAGGGTTTTCACCTCCAGCGCCTCGCGGGCCATGTCAAACGAAACCACTATAAGATGCGTTGTCCTCCATCCTGCCCAGAAACACTTGCCCTTTCTCCCACCCAGCCTCACCGCAGGACAGTACTGCGGGATCTCCTCCTGCGAATTAGCCGATAGAGCTAGCGGCAAACTGTCGCCAACACCACGATCATGCTCAACTTTCCTCCACGAACCTCCTGTCACGCTACTCCACACATGGATCGAGGACGTTCTGTTCCCCACGTGGCCAGAGAGCTTACGAACCCTAACCACTTTGTACTCGCCGGTCGCCCGGTCGAACCCGAAACCGAACGCTATCCAATACGTGTTGTACTGAGGGAAGGGGAACTCGTCATCGTTTACTTTGGGCAGCAGTTGCATCTCCGATGTGGCTGGATCGAACAGACCGATACGGTTCCTGTGGAAGCCCGTGTAGAGTTTGATTCTTGAAGAATCGCGAGATAGGGAACAATAACGAAGATTACTATCCCTCGAAACTATTGGGATCCGAGACATGATGTCATCGGGGACGTGACGGCGGTAGTCGTTGTGGATGAAGAAGAGGTGTCGGTAGATGAAGTTAGGGTTTGAGAGGAGACGGTACCATGACTTGCAGACGCACAGGAAGCGGCGGAGGCAGGGTGACGGAAGTCTGACCAGGATTCCGTCCATCAGGTCCTCCGGGAAGTGATCGTGATCACGACTCGCTGTTGCGCGTTTAAGCTCCGTCATCGTACGTGGTGATCGATCGATTCGGCGCCTCGATCGCTGGAGAAACTAAACCCTAGCTTAGCTATAGATTTAATTTTAGTTGGGTTTTTCTTCTTCCGCTGAAACCCTAGCTAGCTAACCCACACCCTGAGATTTTATATCTAAGGTTATAATAATTAATGAGTATGTTATCACCTAGAAAAAATCATTATAGCTAGAGTGGTGGGATGAGGGCTATCAGCACTTCAAATTAAATCCTGAATTCAACACTTTCAGTGATCTAAAAATAAAGGATTTGTAGCTATAGATATAATTAGTAGTTGGAAACTAAACTAGATTAGCAGTTAAAACATCAGCATTATTGAACCTGAATGATTAGTTCTTAATTAATCTTTATTGTCGTCGAAGTAGCTTCTGACTTAGTTAAGGTGATGACTAGAGGAGGGACCCAGCTGCCTGCCCACTTGAAGCAATTATTATGACCACAATAATTAAGTTCGTTTATAAAAAATATATATTAATTAAGTTGACATTAGATTTATTATCATCAAAGAAGTGCAAATTAAACCCCCAAAAAAGAATTATTCAAAGGACGTACGCTATATATCCTACCAATACTATATACATGTTCCCCGTGAGAACATACCTAATTCAATAAAACGAGCTCTCTCCGCAACCCACAGAAGGGCTCTCTGGTCTTTTTGGACCAATCAATTTCTGCCTTAACATTTGCCAATTGCTATCCGGTATTTCTGTTAGCATCCTTTTTATTTGGGTTATGCTATACTGTAATATAGGCTTGCTACTTGGACCACTTTTCACAATAAATAGAAATTCGTAAATCAACATCATTAAACCATCCAAACTACTAATCAAATTTAATTCATCCAATAAATATTCAACTAATACAATTCATTTAAATCCAATTCAATTTATCCAAATTCAATTGGATTCCTGGATCTTTGGCAAATTATGTTTGGTACCTAAAATTTTTATTATGAAACTTTAGTACTAAAATTTACATATTGGTCCAATGTTTAGATGTCACTTGAATTCATGATCCAATCCACCAATACATAAGATTCAATCTAAAAATCACCAATCCATTTGATCCATAAATCTACCAATCAAATCGATCACTCTATGGACCCAATCCATTTGTCACCTCTATGACCATGTCCAATTTCCAAACCGTGAGGGCTCATCATGCGGATTTCACTTTCATGTCACCGTAGCTATTAGTTTTAGTTAGGGATAATGTCTTATTTTGATATGAATTTTGAAATAAAAACAATTTTAATATGAAAGTTTAAATAAAACATTTTTTACCAAATTTTGAAACAAATAGATAAATATGGCTTGAAATTAGGGTTGATCGTTAATATTGATAGTCAAATATTTCTTTCATTAGTGACTCAATTTTTTATAAAAATGATTAATACCTTATTTTTGCTTGAATTGACTTAAAAGCATATTGTGACTAGAATTTCCAAATAATTTACCGTTATTATTGAATGTCAAACATTTCTTCCATCAACAACTCAACATTCAGTTACGAGGTAGTCGTGATATGTATTTCACATCATTTATTTATAAAAAGGGAAAAATACCTATTTTGACTTGAACTTTGACGTAAAAGAAAATTTTTGCCAGAATTTCAAGGAAGGAAGGGGCGAATAACTACTATATAGAGTAGTTACCATAATACTTCTAATAATTATGTTAGCATGATGGTATAAGAGGTGTTTGTACCCTATCCGGATCCACCAGATAATTTCAATATAATTTTTGAATGTGTGGAATGATGATTTTTCTGTTAATTTTTTCAGAATTAATATATGATAAGGTTAAAATTAATAAATATCCATGTGACGCAGTCAAACCGGCCGATTTACTCTTTGTCACATCAGTGAAATTCACCCAACTCAGCAATTAAGTTGTCGTGTCATCATCAACTAACAGAATGTTAGATGAAAAGTTAACGATTCGACTGTTATATTGTATTTGAAAAAGTTTAACTATTAATTTACCTAATTCAAATGGTTTGGCTACTATATAATGTTAGTTCAAATATTTTCTTTTAAATTCATTCATTACTTTGTTCAGTGTATTATGATTAAAGATTTTGAACCACCTAAGCAAAATGACTGATCATAATGAGGTGGGTGCATAAAACACCATCTAAATCTTGAATTCAATAAATTTTTGGATCATTGTACTATTCTCTAAACCCTAATGAGTAAAAATTGTTCTAACCTAGGTTTTTGGGTAATAAACTTAAATAGTAATTTATTTGGGTAATTTGTGAAGTATGAATTTGATTTATGGTTGCGATGTATGTAATAATGAATTTGGGTCATATATCTTAAACAAATTCACACAAGTCATTATCGCAATGAAACTTGAATGAAGTGGGATTTGCACTGTGTTGATTTGTAAGTGACTAACCTGAGTGATCACTATTGAATGGAAATATATTTGAATTGCTTCCTCGGCAACAATTTGCTTACTAACATATTGATGGGACTCCATCAACTTCACTACAACTAAACCAAACCAAACTTTTGAATCTCCTTGGTATAAATGCTAACAATTTGCTTTCTAACTGGTGGTGATGGTCCATAGATGATGTACTTAATTTGCTGATAGTCATAATTCTCTATCCATTAATCCACCAATATTATTGGTTGAACTCCTAACATTACATGACTTTGTTCAATGAAACTGCTCCATGGTTGACTAACAAATTCAATATATGATAGTAGCTTGAGTTCATTGTTCAACTAACTATTGACAACCAATTTGCAAATTGTTTTTTCTCATTGATATAATGTAATTCCAAATTTATACTTCGTGCAATGATCAACAACAAGATGAATTGAGAAAAGTATTTCATGGATGTTCTAAACTTCATCAAAGGACAAACATCTTTTTATTGCGAAGATCTCATGGAAAGAAACTCTTATGTTGTTCTTTACCAACTTTTTATATTGACAAGACTATTTTTTGTTGCAAAAATGTAGTTAAATTAGAGAATGAATATAATGTATATATTAGGTACATGTATTCTATTTTTGACATGTTATTTATACGTTGTTTGGTATTTAATTTTATGACTTTTTCTCTAAATTATTCATTGGCAACTCTCAGAAGAAAACAGTCACCCAAACCTTTACAATATACAGATAAAAATGAATTACTTGCTTATCACACTTATACCTTTAAATTAAGTACAACCTCTGTTTAAATATTAAACTCTTATGCAAAAGCAAAACAAGACATACTCTCCCGCCAACGGGCGGGGCCCTGTACTAGTATATATATATACACTAGCCTGCTTAGCATGCATCATTCTCTGAAAGCATACCAACTAGCTAGCTAGCAAAAAAGAGCTAATAGAGCAAATCGCTTCAATGGGTTCTGATGAGGAACATGAATTATCTCCCAAACTTCCATTCATAGATTTCTCATCAGAGCAGCTGAAACCAGGCACTCCCATCTGGGATTCCTTGAAACCCCAAATTCGAGAAGCACTCCAAGAGTACGGCTGCTTCGAGGCATCCTTGGGAGACGACAGCACGGTTAATCCTGGCAAGCTTCAGCGTGATGTTTTCAGTTCATTGAAAGAGCTTTTCGATCTGCCTTTGCACACCAAACAGCAGAGTGGCGTTTCTCAGCCGTTTCAACATGGTTACGCGGCGCCGAATCCTTTCTACCAGAGCTTTGGAATGGACGATCCCAATTCGCTCGACGCGGTCGAAACCTTCACCAAAACATTGTGGACCCGTGGAGGAAACCCAAGTTTCAGGTGATCGCTCATCATTATATGTATATATGGTACAACAATTTTATAATTGATTGAAAAGCATAACCAACGTAGAAATTAAGAAATTAATTATGTACGTGTTAAATGCACAGCAACAACATTCACTCCATGGCTGGGGTGGTTTCCGAATTCGATCGCACTGTGAGGAGAATGATACTCGAGAGTTTTGGGCTTGAGAAATACATAGACGAGCATCTGAGTTCCACAACGTACCATTTTAGGGTTATGAAATACGAAGCCGTCCAACCTCATGGTGAGACAGAACTTGGGCTACGAGTTCACACGGATAAGAGTTTCATGACCATACTGTGCCAAAACGAGGTTGGGGGGCTGGAGCTTCAAACCAAGAGAGGGGAATGGGTTAAGTTCAGACCCACTTCTCCTAGTTCCTTCGTTGTTCTCATCGGTGATGCTCTTCATGTAAGTGGATCTGCTGGAGAGTTAACTTGCTTCTCTATATGGGGGAAATACTGAAGTTCCAGGCATGTAATTGTGGTGCTTTTTTGTTTTTACAGGTATGGCTGAATGGTAGGGTACATTGTCCCAAACACAAAGTTACATTGCGTCATTTACATGATAAGTCGAGATACTCTTTTGGACTTTTCACAATCCCGAAGCCAGGCTATGTTATAAAAGCCCCAGAAGAGTTGATCGACGAGGAACACCCCTTGAGGTTCAAGCCCTTTGCTTATCAGGAGTATTTTGGTTTGGCGTACAGCAAGTCTGGGGTAAAAGACGCTTCTATACTACATGTGCCAATGTTTCCTCCACCCATTGTTACATCAAAACTCTGATTTTGATTGGAATATCGGGCGGAGGTTATATGTACCTGAAATTTACCTAGATCCATCTTTGAGTATATTTGAGAAAAATACAAAGTATAACAACATTTATGCATATAGCTCATTTTAAATTGCGTTAGATCTAGTTTATTTTGCGAGAAACCAAACAAAAAATATATGGCTAGCAAGAAAGTGACCCTAAAATAAAGATCCAACTATATATATTACTAAAACAACTATATCAAACATGAATAATTAGTTCTTAACTAAGGTTTTGTTGGCCTACCGGCGACTTTGTGAAGGCGACGTCTAAAGGACCCGATTGCCAACTTGAAGCAATTATTAGCAAATTAAGTGTGTTTATGAACAAAATTATTAAGTTTACTGGTGAGTTTTATAGAAATTTTAATTTCCAACAAAAAAAATTAATTCGTAACAAAGACTTTCTAATCCCCTTACAAATGAACGTTTACACACATTTTATATAAGCTAATAAATTGTCTCTCAACCCGTGCAAATCATGCGTAACCATTTACAAATTGTAATGGTGGATATGAAACACTCAAAATCAAATATGGACCTTGACTTGCACTAAATTTCTCAGTTTCAAGGATCTGAAACACTCAAAAGTGGAGAAAGTGAAATTATGTATTTTTAATTTTTGTTAATTTTTGTTTTTCATTAATCTAAGTGGCAGTGTTGTTGATGAAATGCCATCAATTCAGCAAAGTCGTTAGTCCAGCCAGTCTGTTAGATGACACTGTTCAAAATTTGGACGGAATTGGCTAGCTATTTTGTGTATTTCTCCAAAAGTGACTATTATTGACAAAAATGTAAAGGTCATAGTTATACAAGTGTATTTTACCTTTCTAAACCTATTAAATTTATACTTTTATTTTTCCACCGACAAACAATGTCGATCAAAACCCGTCATGGATATCAACTCCGACGAGCGATTCAACTTAGAAATGGTGAAAGCGAGCCACAAAACTGCAGATCTACGAGAATTTTTTATTTTCATCGTGACCGGAGCGAAAAAAAGTATTGGGTAGCACAACCGATTACACAAATTGGTCTCCTGGCATATAAATAACGAAGCTTTCCTCGAGAGTATGACCATCGAATCTTGCTTGGATTTGGACTTTACTGGCTCAATATGCTGCAGTCCCTCCCTCCCTCCATTATGAATTGATTCCCATTGTTGAAAAGGACACCTAAAGTTGACCCACGCGGAAAACGAGAAGTGACTTGAATATATATATAACTGTTGGAGTACTTAGAACTTAGAAACTAGCTGATCAAGTTCAAGTAGTGTTCTAAATTTCTAATTAGCTACACTAGTTTTGGTTGTTGAAGGGACGTGATAAAGATGTATTAGTTTCTTTTCCTTTTGGGGCTTGCGCGCATGTGACAGTCTGCAGTGGCAGGTTGTATGTATGATTCGATTCAGTATCAACTTGCACGAATAATATAGTTGTGATATTAACAAGATTTGATTGCTCCTGTATTTGGCGCTATGCACGAGCTAGGAGGGAATATATAGAAATAATAAACCACAAAGAAGTAGGGGAAATTAGTTAAATTTATAATAGAGTTGAGTGATAACCTTATGATAGAATCGTATTAACTTGATTTGTAGTATGTATGTAGTTAAATGAAAACAATCTTATTGATATTGCATATAATTTCGTGTTATAACTCATGAGTCCTTCGTAGTAAGAGCACATGTCTTTTGTATAACCCAATTTTCTCGTAGGGTAAGATCGTTCGACATTTTTGTTACATTCAATTATCCGTGGGTATTATAATGTAATCATGATTACATAAAGTTTAGGGGTCATAACTCATACCGGTATATCAATTCATGATTGAATCGAATCGAAATAGGACCAAACCAAAAACAAAGAAAATAATAGGACCGAATGTAATGTGTATTTGGTTCAATTCTGTCCAATACTAATTCAATACTACTAAAATCACTATATCCCATCAAATCAATTCCTGCATTTCCTCCAATCTGCCCCAATCCGAAATCGAGTCCGGCGATTAGGTGAAAGAGGAAAAATTATCGTTATTTTGTCTAATTATTTTAATACATATAGCTGTTTACGTATTACAATATTACTATTGTTATGGTTAATTGGCTATATCTCGGATTGAGATCAATTGTGGCCTAGGAAGGAGACAAATGATTCCTTAATTAATGTTGTGTGCAGCTGGCATGCACATGATGACTAGAAGCTAAGTGCAAATTAAACCGCCCAAAAAATAAATTATTCAAAGGACGACGTACGCTTACGCTATAATAAATAAATACACAAGCATGCAAGCAGTCTACACCCGGAGCATCATTCTGTCGACGAGAGAACACATAGCTAGCAAAAAATCAGCTTATAGAGCAAATCGCTTCAATGGGTTTTGACGAGCAACAGTCTCTCAAGCTTCCATTCATAGATTTCTCGTCAGAACCGAAACCAGGCACTCCCTGCTGGGATTCCCTGAAACTCCAACTTCGAGAAGCACTCCAAGAGTACGGCTGCTTCGAGGCATCTTTGGGCGACAGCAGGGTTCCTGGCGAGCTTCGACGTGATGTTTTCAGTTCACTGGAAGAGCTTTTCGATCTGCCTCTGCACACCAAGCAACAGAGCGGCGCTTCAGAGTCATTTCAAGATGGTTACGCCGCGACGCCCAACGGTTTCTACCAGAGCTTTGGGATAGAAGATCCCAATTCGCTCCACGTGCTCCAAACCTTCACCAACCCATTGTGGCCTCATGAAGGAAACCCAAGCTTCTGGTGAGAATCTATTTATTATATTTCTCTATTATGCATGTTTTAATTTTATCAAACATACATCTCTACTATTTTTTATGAAGCATATTTTTTAAAATTATCAAATATATCCTTATGTTAAGATTTTCATCCAAATATCTTCAACCACGATCGAACCGTGGTTCGGAAGACCTGACCTTGACAAAATGGAAGAGAAAATGTCATATTTACCTCTCCATTTATTTCTCTAAGTCTCATTTAAGTAAAATTATTAGGAATATTGGGCTATATAATAGAAATAAAAATATATTAAAATTTGAAATTATTAATGGTATATATTTTAGACATTTATATATGTCCCTCAAAGGCTCAAATCACTGTTCGGCCGTGGTTGACGATGTTTGGATGGAAATCTTAACAGAAAGCGAAAGCGGAATGTTTGATAGTTTTTCTAAAATACATAAGCATGTTTGATGTAATAAATAGTAGAGAGTCATGTTTGTTAAAAATACATAATAAAGGGGTATATTATACCTATAACCCTATTTATATCGGATTGAAATTCTAATAGCTAGCTAGATCTGTAAAAGAAAAGCACAATTAACCAAGGTAGAAATTGTTGTACATGTTAAATGCAGCAACAACATTCAGTCCATGGCTGGGGTGGTCTCTGAATTCAATCGCACCGTGAGGAGGATGTTGCTGGAGAGTTTTGGGCTTGAGAAATATGTGGAGGAGCATCTGAGTTCCACGACATACAGATTCAGGGTCATGAAATACGAAGCTCTCCAACCTCTTGATGCTGCGACAGAAGTACTTGGGTTGGGAGTTCACACGGATAAGAGTTTCATGACCATACTCTGCCAAAACGAGGTTGGGGGATTGAAACTTCAAGCCAAGAGAGGGGAATGGGTTAAGTTCGCACCTACTTCTCCTACCTCCTTCGTCGTTCTCATTGGCGATGCTCTTCATGTAAGTCGATCTGTTGACGAGTTAATTACTTGCTTCTCTATATTGTCGGAGTGAAAAACCCAAACAAATTATGCATGTAATTGATCATGTGTTGATCTCGTGTATTTTTATTTTTTACAGGTATGGTTGAACGGTAAAGTTCACTGTCCCAAACACAAGGTTACCTTGTGTGAGTTAAATGGTAAGTCGAGATACTCCTTTGGACTTTTCACAGTCCCGAAACCAGAGTATGTTATAAAAGCTCCAGAAGAACTGATCGACGAGAAACACCCGTTGAAGTTCAAGCCATTTGCTTATCAAGAGTATTTTGATTTGGCTTATAACGAGCCTGGTGTAAAAGACGCTTCTATACTACATGCACATTATGGAATTTGAAACTTGATCAAGGGAGTACCGACCATTAAACTTCAACTCTTCATGCCACAATATTAGTGTCTATGCATGGTCGGTCAACTCATATGTAATAAGAATATCGATCAGTGTGTGTTGCCTTTACTCTATGTGATGATGTTTGTTGTCCATCGCTATGCTAACCACAAAACAACATATCTATAAAAAAATCATTTTCGCCGAAATCATAACCAATTACACAAATTAGACTCATGGGATATAAACAACGAAGCCTACTCATACGAAAACCTACCTTTTTTGGGGTTTTCTTATACGGTTTGCACAGGTTGAACATATCATTCCTTGTGTTGCCAACCCATTAGCCTTTCAGTTTGTACAAGTTGGACATACCATTCCTTGTACTAAATCATTGTTTAAATTGTGGGTTGTCATGAGGATTCGAAATCATGACCTTTCGGTTCTAAACTCTGATACCTTGTTAGGGAACCAACCACTTGACCTCAATAACTCTTGTTGAGAAAGGGTTTGTTAAGTCTTTTTATTTATTACATAGGGACTTATAATTTGATGTGAAGCGACCCTAAAACAAAGGTCCACTATATTGTTATAAATATATGTAATAAGTAGTTGGAAACTAAGCTTTTTTTTTTTTTTAATGTAGTTGGAAACTAAGTTAGATGAGCAGTTAAGACGTCAACATTAAACATGAATGATTAGTTCTTAATTAATGTTTTAGTGTCGTAGTAGCTTCTGACTTAATAAAGGTGACAACTAGAGGAGAGGGAATCCAGCTGCCCACTTGAAACTATTAAAGAGTGATATAAGATCCCGCAGAAGTTTTTTTATAACAACTTGAGTTATTGGAATCAACTAGTTCTTGACAGAAATCATTATTATCAGCACATTAATTAAGCTTGTTTACAAGAAAAAAAATATTAAGTTGACATTAGATTTATGACCAAAAAACCGCAAACTAAAACCCCCATAAAAGAATTATTCAAAGGACGTACGCTATAAATACACAGCATCCTCTCAGAGAATAATAGCTAGCTAGTAAATATTAGCTTATAGAGCAAATCGCTTAAAATGGGTTCTGATGAGTCTCTGAAGCTTCCATTCATAGATTTCTCATCAGAGCTGAAACCAAGCACCCCCAGTTGGGATTCCTTGAAACTCCAAGTTCGAGAAGCACTTGAAAACTATGGCTGCTTCGAGGCATCTTTTCCCAACGACAAGGTTCCTGGCGAGCTTCGACGTGATGTTTTCAGTTCATTGGAAGAGCTTTTCGATCTGCCTTTGCACACCAAACAACAGAGTGGTGCTTCTCAGTCATTTCAACACGGCTACGTTGCGACACCGATTCCTTTCTTCCAGAGCTTTGGGATGGACGATCCCAATTTGCTTGACGTGGTCGAAACCTTCACCGACACATTGTGGCCCCATGGAGGAAACCCAAGTTTCAGGTGACATCATATTATTATTTATATGGTTGGGTACCCAAATTTTTTATAATTGGTTGAAAAGCATTAGAACTTAATGTACAAGTTGCAGCAACAACATTCACTCCATGGTTGGGGTGGTCTCTGAATTCAATCGCACCGTGAGGAGAATGATACTCGAGAGTTTTGGGCTTGAGAAATATGTCGACGAGCATCTGGGCTCCACAAAGTACCACTTGAGGGTCATGAAATACGAAGCCGTCCAACCTCACGATGAGACAGAACTCGGGCTGAGAGTTCACACGGATAAGAGTTTCATGACCATACTATGCCAAAATGAGGTTGAGGGACTGGAACTTCAAACCAAGAAAGGCGAATGGATTAAGTTCAGACCGACATCTCCTAGCTCATTCGTCGTTCTGATCGGCGATGCTCTTCATGTAAGTCGATCAATCTGTTTTCTCTTCTGGTTAGTTAACTTGCTTCTCTATATAACCGGCTGAAGCTGGGGAAAATCCAAGCAAATTTAATTATGAGTGACACCAATAACTTGAGTTGTTGTGAAAAGTCCATGTATGATTTTAACCACTTCTTACACGTATCCCAAACGAAAGTCTACTTATGGGCTTGAAGTTTCCATCATCTCAATGAAAAATAAGCTCTAATCCCATGTTGGGAGAGATCCATATATGGATCTTAATCAATTGATCCCAATAACTTCAATTGTTGGGGAGATCCATGTATAAATCTTAATCGCTTTCTTACATTATGCATGTAATTGTGCTCTCGTGTATTTATGTGTTTACAGGTATGGCTGAATAGTAGAGTTCACTGTCCCAAGCACAAGGTTACGTTGTGTCAGATACATGATAAGATGAGATACTCCTTTGGACTTTTCACAATACCGAAGCCCGAGTACGTTATAAAAGCTCCAGAAGAACTGATCGACGAAAAACACCCCCGAGGTTCAAGCCATTTGCTTATCAAGAGTATTTTGCTTTGGCTTATAGCAAGCCTGGGGCGAAAGACGATTCTATACTACATGCACATTATGGGATTTGAAACTTAATCAAAGTTTGTGCTGATTGAACTTCAACTCAGCATGTCTGTCTGTCAACATATATGTAATAATATCGACGTGTGTTACCTTTACTTTCCGTGATGATGTTTGTTGTCCATCGCTTAGGTTCAGTGAAACAACAATAATAGCGATTAATTGTACCCGGCATATTATAAAAATCAGCCCGAGTCAGCAAGAACTTGGTCTTGAAATGTCCCATTTAGCCTAATAACCAAGTCTCATTTAGACCCAAATCCCTAAAAAATCCCTCAAGTCAAAATTGATGATCCAAACGACCCCTTAAACTCTCGTAAATTTTTCATTTTGCTGACATAATATGATCTCATTTAGGTATTACGAATTTCTTATACATATGCTTAATCAGCCATGATCTCATTTGGGGTCCATTGACATACGGGGATAGGACAATTCAAATAAAAAATACTAATAGGCATGAAATAAAGCATTCATCACACTCATATATATGACATAATGCTTGGCCAAAATGGGAAGAGATAGTGGTAACATTCATAGTGTTAAAATATTAATCATGTTTGATCTTATATATGCTGACCAGAGATTCCCCTCCAATTGATTTGATTGGAGACCGGCCGGAGAGGCCGCGAAGCCATTGATTTGATGCTGTGCTGGTAGCTGATGATGAGAGAAGGCTCTGGCTTCTTCTTTCGAGTCTTAGCTTTCACGGATGTTGCAATAGCTAATTAAACGCCGCTAAATTAGTTTAATTATCATTCATTGTTTAAGTCCGATATAGGTAGGAGGAGGGAGGATCAATTATGTGAAGAAGACGAATTATTATTCTTTGTTTCGTTTATTTGTTTTTTTTTTTTTTTGTCATGATTTTGATGTCTTAACTGCTCTACTCGATTATTCATTAACATTCTTCTGATCAAGTAAGTAAACAGTACTAAATAAGGATTGATTGTAACTTTACAAAAGTACACCATAACACCATTACTTCGTAAAAAGTTATGCTTTATTTTTTAGTTGTTTTCCAGAAGCAAGTTGGCACACTTTGTCATATAATGTCAATCTGTGCCTATTTAAACCAAAAGATGAATGAGAACAACCAAAATTATAGGGTTCCCACTTTCAACGTACCTACATTACTTTGTTAATATGATGGACTGTCAGTCTCGCTTGTGAATTTATAAGTGATAAGCAGTTAATAATAGCTAGGTTGATACATGGATTTGTTGCAACTTGCTCGTTTTGGAAATTAATAAACATCGTTCACTGCTGTAAGTAGATGATGATTGATGAGCAGTTAAGAAGTCAAAATCATGTTAAGTAGTCAATAAGATTCTGTAAGAATTAATTACTACAAGAGGGCCATTGTTGAAATTCATTTGCGAACACAAAAGGGACACTTGAGTTGACCCTTTAATAAACGCTGAGAAAGAACAACAGCCCTTACAACTTACAAGGACGTCTTTACCCTTGGCATACCAAAAAAAATTATAATGGAAAAGTAGTAATTAAGCACTATAAATAAACAAGCCAGGGAGAGGCAGAGTTGGGAACCTAAGCATAATCTTCTTTCTAATTTCTCTCTCAACTCAAGCATAATATATACCATTTCATAGACGTGTTTTCAATATATGGCTGGATCCATCAATGAAGCGCCTGCTAGTGATCTAAAGCTTCCATTCATAGACTTCTCATCAGAGCCTGGTGATCTGAAACAAGGCACTCCCAATTGGGATTCCTTGAAATCCCAAGTTCGGGAAGCACTCGAAGACTACGGCTGTTTTGAGGCTTCCTTCGACAGGGTTCCTAGTCGGCTTCGAACTGATGTTTTCGATTCACTTGAAGATCTCTTTGATCTGCCTTTGCCCACCAAACAAGCAAGTTTTCCTCCTGAGGCATTTCCCCAAGGTTACTTGGGCCGTCCTCCAGCCAATCCATTCTTCGAGAGCTTTGGGCTAAACGATCCTCATTTGCTTGACGTGGTCCAGAACTTCTCTGACAGATTATGGCCCCAAGGAGGAAACCCCAGTTTCAGGTGATGTATATGATTAATTACCCATTTTAATTAGTAATACTCTTGCTGGAGCACGTTTAACTTTGGCGTTCTAATGCTCGTGATTATTCCGTTTGAAATTCGTATACCTACATATATATACTCGTCTAGCTACTATATACCAATAGTGTTTGCTACGCTCTCATATACGAGACATGTGTATATTATTATGTACTATGTACGTCATCTCATATCATGTCAAAAACTAATTTAGTGTTTTTCAAACATCTTGATGTTTGCAGCAAAAATATCCACTCCATGTCTAAGAAGGTGTCTGAACTGGATCAAATTGTGAGGACGATGATACTGGAAAGCTTTGGCCTTGAGAAATATGTGGATGAACATATGTGTTTCACAAATTACCATTTGAGGGTCATGAAATACGAAGTAACAGTAGCTACTTCCGAAACTCCACTAGATCCAAAAACTGGGCTGAAAGTCCATACTGATAAAAGTATGATTACAACGTTGTGCCAAAATGAGGTTGATGGATTGGAGCTTCAAAACAAGAGAGGTGAATGGGTTAAATTCAAACCGACTTCTCACACCTCTTTCATCGTCTTGGTTGGTGATTCTCTTTACGTAAGTCACTTCTTTATTCGCTGATTTTTTAATTTGGTATGACCGTTATCTGTCCCTCGCATGCATGCCAATATATCCTCGATAAAGGCTATCATACTCTTAAAATATGTGATACTTGGTCATGAATGTATTTCAATGTAATTCCACAAATTGTAATTATTTTTTCTCACATAAATTTCGGGATTGGGTTTAGAAAATTAGACTCCAAGTTTACCCGTTATATATTAAGATATGGTATCATATCTCAAATTAGGGTAATTCATGGTTTATATAGTGCCACCTCATTAGGAGTAATGGAGTACTGCATATTAAAAATTATGCTAGAATGACCCATATATCCTTCTATAGTTCTATATAAGTGCGGTTTTTGATAGCGTTCCATTTATTTAATTTAACTTGAACTCGACACTTTAATATTTTGATTGTTTTAGTTCCAAACTTCAAGAGTGTTCATTTCAGTGCAGTATTACATGAAAAGTTTTTTTTAGGACACTTTTGGAATGGATAATTGTAACTTTAGTCCTTGAACATCCAGTAAGTCAATTTAACTTCTCTATACACGAAAATTTATGTTGGGTAAATACAATATATTAGCCACAACTATTAAGTAACGGGAAATTATAACCATAACTATCCAAATACAAATTATTAGCCAAAACTATTATTGCGAATCATGAAATGGCTAACTGTGTGTTACTCCGTTAAATTTTATAACAAAGACTGCCACATCAGCATTCCACGTCAGAAAATATTAAAAAAATAATAATATATTAAAAATATTTATTAAAAAATAGAAAAATGAGAAAACCTTTTTTTTCCAATCCCCTCCGCTGGAAAGAACTCCCCCCTATTATTTTCCAATCCCCCGCTGCTGGAACGAACCTCTTCGAAGCCACCGACGCCGCCTTCTCCATCACTTTCCCCATCCTCCTCGCCTCTCTGCCGTCCTTTCCAGTTCCACCTTCGCCATCCCATCCATCTCCTCCTCGAACCTCCGTAACTCCGTGATCGCCGCCTCCATCGCCGATTCCAACACAACCCACGCCTTGTAGGCCTCCAATTCAAACGACTTCATCAGATTGGAGTCGATTTTGGATGGATTGAAGTGTTTGTCTCGCAGGAGTTTGTCCGCCAGTAGGCAGAAGATTGAAGATTCTGGACGGATCTGGGAGCTTCGAAGGGAAGCACGAAGTGCCGGAACAACTACTCCGCCTCCATCGCACAATCCAATTTCCAGGTGTCGCCGACTTCTTCGTCGCTAACGAAGATGATCACCAGAGCTTGCAAAGGTCATTTCGAGGACTATTCGTTCGGCACAGCATAGAGCAGCCCGCAAAACTACTACGTACTCCTCTACGCCGAAACCCGACCCGTCGGCGGGCCTGCGGCCGTTCGCGTTCCCCCGACCCGACTACCCGGAAAAGGGTGGAGAGATGCTCGCCCCCGTTTGTTGTTCCGGAGGGACCTCGTTCAGCTTCCGAATCGTGTGCAAGAGTTTCTAGAGCTTGAACGGCGACGACCTGCGGGGTGAATTGACTTGTGGATGATGATCGGAATCAGGGGATTTTTTACCCCTAATAGTAAATTAATTAATAAGTTACAAGGTTGACCTACTTATGTGGCATTTTTGTTGACTGCCACGTCAACGTAGCATCTGCCAATTCACCATCATCTAACAGAAGTATTACGGAGACTTAACAGTTGGTTATTATTTTGTATATTGATAGTTTTGGATATGAAACCCCGATACATAATAGGTATGGATATTATATTGTATTTGCCCATTTATGTTTGATATGACAATTTGGTGTTGGGCCATTAAAATAAAATTTCATTGTATTATTTTTAAAATTAGTTTGCATCACATCTAATTTCTGGAACAAATTCCTTCAAAATGGAATGAACGGTCCTGTGAAAATTTTCTACAAGTTTATTAATTTTGCAGTGTGAGGTTTAAGATAGTGACAACAACCAAATCCAATTATAATCTAGCTATATAATTTGTGATTTCGTATTTTGTGTAGGCATGGCTGAATGGTAGGGTTCACTGTCCCGACCACAGGGTATGGTTGTGTGAAAACGATAAGTTGAGATATTCGTTCGCACTTTTCACACGCCCAAAGGCGAACAACACTATCAAAGCGCCGGAAGGGTTGATTGACGAACAACACCCCTTGTTGTTCAAGCCCTTTACCTACAAGCAGCTAATTGCCTCGACTTTTACCCAAGCTCGTCTGAAAGAGGCTTCTCCATTGTTGAATTCATTCTCCGTTGTGCAAACTCAAACGAGATACTTGGGTTGACCCTTGATAAACGCTGAGAACTAAAAAGTAACTCTTGATCGTATTGATGAAATAAAATCTCGTATTCATGAACGATAATTGGGAAGTGTGAGTGTAATTGGGATGGGAGGAGAATGGTTAGGAAATGTGACTGCTCGCTCATATCTTGTTCACATGAACTGTAATTGGGATGGGAGGAGAATGGTTAGGAAAACCTCCTATTTTTAGTCAAGTTCTAACTGTAACTTTACAAACATCAGTACCAAATACCTCGTATAAAATTACAGGAACTTAAATAAGAAAATGTGGTTAATAAATGTAATTTTCATTTTGTTACCAAATCATTTGAAATCCTCAATTTTAATCTGGTTATATGTATAGACGACCAAGATTTTTAATATATTAGGTACTAAATAGTACTAGAATGACTTCTACGACAGCCAAAACTCTCAATACTCATATAATACTCAAATGGCTAACCCAAAATGATTAGATGATAAAAGGATTAGATTCATGAATTAACGGATTACATTAAAATAATGAATTTTTGAATTCATGAATAAAAATGGTATCGAAACTTTGGATCATATTAAAAAATTGAAAAGTTTAGGTACTAAATTGTTATTATGAAATATTAGGTGGCAAAACATTTTTTTATGAAGATGATATCATTTCATCAAATAAACGAAGGAAAAGAAAAAAGAGTACAAGATTCCATTGCCACATGAGTTAGTCCAGAAATATCAAAGAAGTGATATATCCCAGCGTAGTATAGTTAAGGTTGATATAATGAAGGCTTTTGATTCGGTGGATTGGGATTTCTTGATTACAGTTTTAAAAGCAATGAATTTCCATGAATTGTTTGTGAAGTGGATTGTTATGTGTGTGACTACATCCTAAGAGTGTGGGGTTTAATGGTGGAATTGTGGGATATTTCTCAGCTTGTAAAGGACTGAGGCAAGGGGACCCTTTGTCCCCCTACTTATTTGTTGTATCAATGGAAATCCTGTCATGTTTAATGAGCAAAGCAGTTAACGAAGGTCAAATGCCATTCCATCTGATGTGTAAGAGACTGGGATTGACACATTTGATGCTTGCTGATGATTTGTTACTGTTCTCTGATGGCTCCAATCATGGTATTCAATGTATTCAGAAGGTGTTGGGGGAATTCAGAAGAATCTCTGGACTTAAGTCCAACCCTGAAAAGTGTGAACTGTTCTGTGGGGGTCTTCCTCTTGAATGGCAAAAACAAATGGCTCTTAATGCGGGGTATAAACTGGGAACACTTCTTATTAGGTATCTGGGATTGCCTCTTATCCCTGGCAAATTATCTATAAAGGCTTGTAAGTCTCTGTTGGACAAAATTACTGGGAGGATACATAGTTGGAAAACCAAATTTCTTAGCTATGCAGGGCGTTTGCAACTTATTATCTCAGTGCTTGCCTAAGAGGATTGTTAAGGAAGTTGAAAGATTGTGTAATGACTTTTTATGGGGAGTAGGGGAGGAGGGGAAGAAGAAGGCTACTGCAGCTTGGAAATATATTGCTCTCCCAAAAAATGAAGGTGGTTTAGGTATTCGTGACCTGGTGAGTTGGAACTTTGCTTGTGTAATAAGACACATTTGGCTTATCCTCCTACAGCAGGGTTCATTGTGGGTGGCATGGCTGAGAGAATATAGGATAAAGCATCATGATTTCTGGACATTCCAATCAAAAGCAAGGTCTTGGTTATGGTTGAAACTGTTGAAGAGTAGAGATCGAATTAGTCAATGGATGTCAATGAATAATGGTGAGGTTACATGGTCTGAAAAAGTTATGCAGAAATATAAAATTCAACTGGTGTGGGAAGTGTTCAGGCCTAAGGAAGCAACTGTTCCATGGTATTCTCTTGTGTGGAAAGGACTCTCCCCTCCAAGGGATAAATTCCTTGTTTGGATGGTTGTAAAAAACTATATTGTCACATGTGATAAGGTGGCTCGTTGGGGTGGGAGAGGTCCTCTCTCGTGTGTGTTCTGCTCCTGTGCTTTGGAGACTAGGGCGCACCTGTTTGGTGAATGTGTGGTTTACAAAGAGTTGTATGCAGGTTGGCTGGCCAAGGAATTCCCCAGAACTCCTTCTGATGATTGGGACGTTGAGTTGCAGTGGGCTGTGTTGCATCTTCGAGGAAAGCAGGAGCGTGCTCAGGCTGCTAGGGCGATTTGGAGGTCTATAGTCAGCTCCATCTGGAGAGAAAGGTGTCACTTGAAGTTTGGCGAGACAAGGAGAAGTTGCCAAGAGTTGATACTTAGCATACGAAAGGATCTCTCTATCTTGTTCCCTTCTGTACTTATTGATAGTTTCTGGTGACTAGTCAGCTTGTTGCTCTTGGTTCAGTTATAGGTTTCTTTCGTTGTATTGCTAAAGGTAGAGTTGCTAAGGTGTGGATGCAAAACACAGAGGTATAGTAACTTAGTTGGCAGGGGTGTTGCCTTCAGTTTTGCAGGGGGGTTTTGATGATATAAAGCTTACCAATTCATAAAAAAAATGAAACAAAATTCAAAGGCTGCTGATTTGCAGATTAAATGTCAAACTTTCCAAAACATAATTTCTGAAAGTAATTGCAACTTTATTTTCCTCTCTCATGAGGTGTTGCAACTTGCAACTTGTCATCGTGAGCTCATTTTGGAATAAATTAGATCACCTTCCTAAAAAAGAAAACAAAGTAAAATGAGCAGTTAAGACGTCAAAGCCATGTGAAAGAACAAGGAAGCTTGTAGAGGCCAGAGGGCCAAGCTAAGTCGATTTGCCCTTGTCCATGAAACTTGAAAAAACAAAACTCTCCCTTTGTACAAAACACAAAAAGGAAATTCAATTGACCCTCGAAATGAACCAAACGGAACGTAAAGTTATGTGAGGAGAAATTGTCAACTGGCGATAACTAAACGAATATTCTCTTCTTTAAAAAAATTGGACGGGTTCGGAAATTTCCATAAAATCATGCAAGATCCAATTCTTCGGAGTACGATTGATTTTACTAAAACAATGGAAATCAAAGTCCCAAAGGCGAGTGACTTTGACTAGCCAAATAAGCAATACACTCAATATAGATATGAAACATCTATATTATCCTTTTTCGCTCTATAATATCTCAAAATATCTTAATAAGATAAATATCAGGGTCCTCAGCATCCCGTCTCTAGAAAAGCTGGACCCCGTAAAGGGAATCAAGTTCAACGAGAACAAATTTGTGTCACGTCAACTAAAGACCCCGTATTTCACCCAAAAAAAAAACTAAAGACCCCGTATATCACATCTCAACTCTATCTTGGTAATCGAACAACCTATCAAGTCTAATGTGCGTTGTTAAATTAGTGTCATGTGTGATCTCGTATTATAGCGAAGAGCTAAGATTCGTCCCTAAATATCAACGGGATTACATTCTTTTTTCCAGATTAAGGATGATTTAAAATCTCTTTATAAATACATGTAAAATTTGTAACGATCTTTGAAATTTGGAATAATTTGCGGCCCTCGAGAATCGATCCATACAAGTGGATGGGTGATGGACATTGGACGGAAGCATATACGCATGCACCAACTGCTACAGCAATGCAAACCACCAAAATAGTAAATTAAGAAGACTAATTAATGGCTTCATAAAAAAAGAAGACTAATGAATGGAATTGGTCTACCCTCAGCCGAGCTCCCCCTAATATATGCTTAGTGACACCACCGACCACCTCATAGCTTTTAATAATTTATTTATTTGCTCAATAATTGAGCTGAAAATTTCTAAATCGATCTACATTTGTTTAATTTCGACAATTTTTCTGTCTCAATAATACTCATCTAGCTATAAATACACAAGCCAGGCAGGCAGCTGGAGGAATTCCCATTCAAGACCAGCATCTTCTTTCTAATATGGGTTCTATCAGGGAAGCGCCTACTGATCTAAAGCTTCCCTTCATCGACTTCTCAAAGCCTCATCTGAAACCAGGCACTCCCCATTGGGATTCCTTGAAATCCCAAGTTCGAGAAGCACTCGAAAACTATGGCTGCTTCGAAGCTTCCTTCGAAAGGGTTCCTAGCAAGCTTCGAAGCGATGTTTTCGATTCATTGGAGGAGCTTTTCGATCTGCCTTTGCCAACCAAACAAAGAAGTGTCGTTCCAAACGCATTTCATCAAGGTTACTTGGGGCAGCATCCTTTGTATCCGTTCTTTGAGAGCTTTGGGTTAGAGGATCCTACCTTGCTTGAAGTGATCCGGAACTTCTCCAACACATTGTGGCCCCAAGGAGGAAACCCAAGTTTCAGGTAGTGTCACACACAGTTTGCAAGTTGTTATATGAACTCATCTCTGATACCACGTCAATAAGCAGCACTTCATCATTCTAATGTCTGCAGCAAAAACATTCACTCCTTGTCTGAGATGGTCTCCGAATTGGACCAAACGGTGAGGACAATGACACTGGAGAGTTTTGGGCTCGAGAAATATATGGACGAACACATGAGTTTCGCAAGTTATCATTTGAGGGTCATGAAATACGAAGCAATTGATTCCCAAGCTACCTTAGATCCACAACTTGTGCTGAGAGTCCACACCGATAAAGGTCTCATCACCATACTGTGCCAGAATGAGGTCGAGGGACTGGAGTTTGAAACCAAGAAAGGCGAGTGGGTTAAATACACGCCAACCTCTCCTAGCTCTTTCGTCGTCTTGGCTGGCGATTCTCTTCATGTAAGTCCCCTCCCCTCGATCTCCTGGCTAAAGTCAATCATTTCTCATTTAAGACGATAATCTGGTAAAATTATTATTATTGATTTGTGATTTCATTTAATCATGAAAGGCATGGCTGAACGGTAGGGTTCACTATCCCTATCATAGGGTAAGGTTGTGTGGAAACGATAAGCCGAGGTATTCGTTTGGCCTTTTCACAACCCCGAAGGACGAAAGCACTGTGAAAGCTCCAGAAGAACTGATTGACGAACAACACCCGTTATTGTTCAAGCCCTTTGTTTATAAGCAGTATCTTGACGTGGCTTTTACCCAAGCTGGCCGTAAAGAGGCTGCTCCTTTACGTGCATTTTATGGCCTCTAAAAAATATATGCCATGCATATGCACAAATCCTGTACGTGTCTTTAATTTGTTCGGCTCAAGATGTAATAAGAGGTATATATGGCCGGTGGTGTGTTAATTACCTAATGTCTTTGTAATCACGATTATATATGTTTATAATTCCCATGGGTAATTGGATGTAATGGAACGTCAAATGACCTTACGCAGTTACGCTAGCTATAAGAAAAATGAGCTATAATAAAGATAAATTATATGTGCCCTTATAACGAAGACTTTGGTCCAAAACTTTATGTAGTATATATGAGAAGATTGTATGTATTCATTTAACTGCTCACAAAAAATAAAGTTAATACGATTCTATCATAAGTTTATAGCTGAATTCTGTCATAAGTCTATCATAGCTGCCTAATGTAGAGAATCACTAATTAATTTCCCCTACGTACGATCATCTGCATTTCTTTGTTTTCTACTTATCTGCATTGCCTCCTCGTGCATATGTAACGCCAAATACAGGAGGAGCAATCAAATGTTGTTTATATCACAATTATATTATTCATGCAAAGTTGATACTATTAATTCATATATACAACCTGTCACTGTAGGATCACATGCAAACCCCAAAAAACTAATACATCTTATCACCCTTCAACAACCAAAACTAGCTAGTCCATGAATATAATTAAAGGTATTAGTGGGTTACTGTTGCACAACAGTTTCTCTAACTTGCATTGCTGTCATATAATTTTGATAACCGGCGAGTGTTTAATGAACACGTGGCCACTAGAGTGGAGGACGGTGGCTTCAACACGTATTCCAAAATGTTTCTGGATTTTTATCCGACGGTGATCGCCCGCCGCTCTCTCTGCGGCTCCGCCCCATCTTTTCTTTCTTCTTTTTCTTCTTCTTCGATGAAGACGACGTGCAAGGATATCAAATTAGCTCTCTGAACTATATTGGAGCGGAATCGTAGCAACGATGAAGGAAAACAAAGTGTGAATTAACTGAAACGGGCTTCATGGTCGGCAGGAGGAGGGGCTGGCTCCGTAGATTCGACGGGAGGATGAGGATTTCCTAATCCAATTGTCGAATCCCCAAGTTTTGGGTTTTCCTTCTTGCTTGATTCTTCTCTTCATCCGCCTTATTTTTCGATGTCCGGGGAGGTGACTGGTGGTCGTTTTTGCCCCTTACTGTCTCTCTAGATATGTTGCACTTGCAAGTATGCAATTGTGCGAACCCTGGCTGATTGATATGTGTTCGGGATCGGATGACAGCAGCAGTTCCGAGATACGTCTTTCCATGCTGGTCGATTGCTACCCAGTAAGTTTCTTTGATTTCATTGTTTCTATAAAGAATCCTGAAGCTTAATTTCTCTCGGTTGACTACCAAAGGAAGAGATTTGAACGAAAACACAGAACTACGAACATAGGCGCTTGAGGATTGGTTTTGACAGTCTTTGTGGTATTACCCCGGCCAATCAAAGAGGTTACTGTATTTTATTAAGTATTGTAATTCAGAGCATGGAGTTGAATTGCTGTAGGTAGATCATAAAATATGGATGGAGATGCTAGAGTTGGATCACAATTCCTTCAACAGCCTTTGATGCTAAATAAATTAAACTCTTGCTCCAAACCCTGCTATGATTTGGTATGGTATATTAGTGCGTGATATTTGTCATTAATCTTGGAGAGTTCACAGAAGGAGCAAATCTTGGTGTAGAAAGTCTATGAAAGATTAAGATAGGTTATGCTTTTGTTACACCTACACGTACAACAGGTAATATTGTAGGCCTTGAAATTTTAATATAGCCCGGCCCTTGGTGTGGATTCTTTCAAGTTTGACATGCTCTCACCCACCCTGCAAATGTGGCTGCGATGGGGAAGGAGGAACCTGATTGTCGGAGATACGAGGGTAGCGATGGGGAATGAGGAGTTGGGGTGGCCGCTACAGTTCATATAATTGGGTGGTTTGCGTCGGCGTTTCTCTCAACTAGAGGAGTAAGTAGAAAGAAGAGGTCACCGTTAGTTTTGGATTAAACTAGCTAGAGTGGTGTTCAGGAGGATGTATAAATCTTCCTCACAAGTCACAATCACTGTCCTGCATCTGAACCAATTTTTTGGGTAAGTTTCTCCTACCAAATTGAATCAGCCTCTGGTCATAGCTTTTGGATGCATATCATGCTAATCTGAAAACCAGCTTCAATTTGAGAGGCTAGGGAACAACACACAATTATGAACTAGGAGAGTCACTACCTATTTACCAATATTGTCTTTGTTAGTGGTATGATCGATCGTGAAGCAGTGTGGTCAAATCATGGTAAATGTTAATGGGTTAGCAAACGATGCAAATCAACTCTATTCACACCGCTGTGGAGCGCGGCACAAACCCACCTAGTATAGTTGATTGGAAAAGAACTCGATCAGCTAGAAACGGGAATCATATTAGGCTCTTGTGAAGCTCCCAGCTATCCAAAGCTTCCATTTATTGACATCGTTTTGATATGAATTGTCTACTCATAATGATTATTATGAGACAGGTGCATAGCATGCACTTAAAAAGTGGGTGCACCAAAGATACGATTATGAGACGGGTACATAGCATGTATGCACCCAAAAACTTGAGAGCACCGAAAAAAATTATTTTCGGAGCTTGGTGTATTCAATGCACTCGCTTTACGATCGTCATTCTGAGAAGGTGATTCATTTCAAAATGATGTCAATTGTCACTTGTAATATGATGGACAAGAAAACACATGAATTTGCACAAAAATAATTCAATGTTTACTTCAGAGTTCATCGATTTATGGTTAGGCTTAGCACTTATAATTTGGGGTTTTGGGTTTGGTGTTCAAAATTGAATGTTTAGCAGTTAGGGTAATAGATTGATTAATTGTGATCCTATACATGTTATATCATTATATCATATTAATGATATCAATTAAAATTCAAAATTTAATATATTAACGTACTTTTAGAGCATTTTTGTAATTGCACCAAAGAGGTCATATTTTATATATATATATATGGAAGTAAAATGTCTAACTCAGTTGATCCAAATTAAGACTGCAGATCATAACTTAGAATATTCCATAACCACCACTATCCACCACAAGACAAAGTATAGTCAGGATTAAACTAGTACTGTGTCATGTCTGTTAATACATCCAAATCAGTGTGAGGGGGTAATAGATAGCTTAATTAGCTAGGCACTAGGCAATAACTGAGCTCTAAGAATTTTAGCATTCCAGCCACAAATACACGTACAGGCAGGCACAACCCACCAACAATCTTAGCTACGTACTTAATTATATATTATCATTATGGACTCTAATATTATCATTGAAAAGCTTCCTCCATTCATAGATTTCTCAAAGCAGCGGCAGCTGAAACCTGCATGCACGAATCACGATTGGGATTTCCTGAGGCTCCAAGTTCGAGAAGCACTGGAAGAGTACGGCTGCTTCGAGGCGTTATACTTGGAGCTTAGTGATGATGCAGATGAGATTCAGTTCAGGAAGATGTGTTCAGAATTAGATCGTTGAAAGAGCTTTTCGAGCTGCCCTTTTGACCACAAAACAGCCAAGGTTCATGATGATAAATAAGGCATTTGGACTTAAGAGATGCATGGACGAACACATGGGTTGGACAAAGTCGTATTTGAGGCCACGAAATACGAAGCTCCTGGAAGGCTGGAACCCGTGATTCAGTACATGGGCTGCAGGCCCATACTGATAAGAGCACAGTGACCTTACTGTATCATGGGCTGGAATTTCAAACCAATTAAGAACCGGGGCTGGGACTTGGGTCAAGTATCAGCCCTCCTCCTCTCGTGCCTCTTTCGTCGTCCTGATTGGTGATTACTTTTACGTAAACCTGAGATGATTATCTCTTCAACTATTTGATCCTGAAATTGAATATAAAATAACTTTATTCATCATCTTGAGTTTCTATATGAAATGATTGCCCCTTCAAACTATTTTATCACAAAATTGAATGCAAAATAACTTTATTGTTCATCTTGAGTTTCTATATTACCTACAGTAAATGCCAAAAAAAATACATTACTTTGTAGTATTAATAGGCTTGATCATTGACTTGACAACTGGCCCAAATTTTTCATTAAATCTCAGCTGACAAAGAGAATTATGGACTACCGTATCAGGATATATTACGTTGATCAACTTCCACATCTTGAAGAATGCGATTGATACTGGACCAGACTTCATATAAAAGTACTCCGCATTGTTAGTGCTTGAAATCGTTGAAAAAATCTCACATCCAATTGAAATTTTATCTTCAGATCCAAACAACATAAGTGGGTTCCTCTCCCACGACAAAATTACATCCTGCAAAATTAATAAATCGGATCAAAAACTTCTTTTTCGGATGGAAAAACTACTCAACATTCAAAATAAAATTCATAGAAATGTATCATTATATATAGATAAGATTTCGTAACATGCACCTTTTTTAAGTATACTATACACTTTTTCTCAAAGTCACCATCCTTTATATTTGGTAGAATAATAATCCAAATCCTTAGCTAAATTATTGTAAACCACAAAGGGTACAAAATGAGAGAAAACACTTTCAATAAGAAAAAAATAAGTGATTCATCAGATAAAAGGAATTAAAGAAGGAAATAAGGAAATGGAGGGGAGGTCAATTTACCGTATAAAAGAAGTTGTATCCAAATTCAAGCACTTGCCGTAGAAGCTCGTTCCTGAACAAGCCAACTAATTTATGAGGCTGGTGATCGTGGAGGCTATTGAAATTTGGGTACTTGAAGCAGTGAGGATGGATGGATTTGCAATGATGAAAAGTTTGGGGATCGAAAGTTAAGATCACCAAGTGATCCACAAGGTGTTTCGTGGCCGTCCCATTCCTTAAACTCTCCAGGAAATCGTTCACCGCCGGCGGCGAGCCAGGACGACGAGGGGTTGTCGTCGAGTTGTCGATCGCCGTTATGATTACTGTTCTGGTTTCCATTGAAGCTCGTCTCAGCACTTGCCTCAGTCCCTTCTG